GAGCATAACAAACTAGTCGTTTTGAAATCGATAAACTCCAGCAACGAACAAACAAATCGGTTACAATAGACAATAGAGTATTGACGATGTTGGTTGTCAGATGTTTTGACAAGGTAAGGATCGGTCGCTTTGTTAGCGGGAATTTATGCTACTTTTTGTTGTTTTTTTTTTTGTTGTAGTTGTGGACAAGTTAATAGTTTTCATTGTTATTACTAAAATCAGGGTTAAATTAAGTAACTGTTGAGCACATACGAATTTACATGATATGTACCCACACATTTACCTTTTAGAAGACTTCATGAAGGTCCTAGCATCAAAATGTCAGTGTCTAATGACCTAGGTAAATATTTATTTATATGTTTTAAAAGCACAACTTGGTGTCTATAAACTTTACTGATTACTATCACTAAACGTATATACAGACTCTTTTATTTTTGTTATCCTAGGTATATGTAAATAGTGATTTGACTTTTGACCTATTTAAAATATACAAACGCAAACCTTTTATTATTGCCAGGTCAAAACGAAGTAAGAAAATCTAGTCTCTGACATTATGACCGCGTCCTTACTTGACATTTGACAGGTATTTAGGCGGGAAGCGACAGCTCGCCTCGTTAGCGACGCCATGTCGTTTTTTTTGCTTTGTTTTCGTTTACACTTTGTCTAGGAGGCGCTTACAAGTCAGTGTTAATATTGTTTTGATCACTAATAAATATTGGAAGTGTTTTCGTTTATTTAATAAATATCTAAGATGTTTTGTGGATATTGCAAACGGTAGGTTTAGGTTATTTTATCAAATAAGCTTGCGACGTAACATAAAGCAAAATACGCGATTACCTGTGTATCGTAATTTGCGGCAGTCTATTAAAAACCAATTTATTTTGCGAAATTTTGCCGTAAAAAGGACTTTTATTTAAATTATTTATATAGCTAGTAGAAAGACCAATAAAATAATGATAGGCACATAAACTAAACCCCTTCAATGGTTGACAATAATACGAGTACCTATATCTCATAAATATGTTTTAAATACAATTGGACTTTACACTCAAGTGGACAGCTAAACCCTCCCATATTTGACAATATAATAAATAAACGTGTGTATCTAGTTCATGTATCCTGTATCAACACAAAGGGTTAAATAAATAAAATAAAATATCTTTATTGCAGACATAAACAGTCCATAGGTTTTTTAGTAGTGGGTTAGAAACAGATTTGACTGCACGGATGGCGTAGTGGTTTAAGCGGTCGCCACGCCGCTTACTACTACGCTGAGTGTTGTGGGTCCGATCCCGACATGGGACAACACTTTGTGTAATCCACAAATTGTTGTTCTGAGTCTGGTTGTTCTTTGTGTCCGTTTCATGTATGTTTGTAAAGTCCCCCGCGACACAGGATATATTCCTAATGCGGGAGTTGTCTTTTATTGACAAATAATATAAAAAAAAGAATGTACTTAAAGTCTAAATTAGTATTATAATAATAATATATATATACAAATGTCACACACGGCCGTCTGATTCCAAACTAGGCAGAGCCTGTGTTATGGTAACCAGACTGCTGATAAACATAGGTACTTATATATTTCTAAATACATACATATTGTAGATACATTACACCCAGACACAGAACAAATGATCGTGCTCAAACAATATTTGTTGAAATCCCCTCGGATACCACCACCTCGGTGGCATGTTGAACTCGAACCGACTAAAACCGTACGCCGTCTCGGGTACTAATAGCCGGGGAACCAATAGCCGGGGAACCAGGTATACCCTAGAAAGGAAGTCCCTGGTGACAATATTTGTCCTGGGTGGGAATCGAACCCACGACCTACGGCTTAGCAGTCACGGGCCCGTATTGTTAGTAAGGACACTTAATGCTAAAAAAGTATTCATCTTCGGGTTCCTTTTGCCATTTCCACCCAGTCCCTTCGTATAGAACAGTCTGACTTCCTAGCAATCATTTTCTGGATGCCGTTCCGGGTGTTGCACACGTTAAAAAAGAGACACGTGAATAAATAATGAACGGATTTTTAAAATGCTGTGATATAATCTTTACATACATATAAAATTATTTGCCGTGACTGCCTAGCTGATTCATCAACGCAGAGCCGCTGGGGTTATTTATGCTTTTTAAAACAAGGGATGACCGTTGTTTGGAAGTTCGGAATTTTCTCACATCAGAGTAAATTTCCATTTAACCCCTAAGTTGGGAGAATCTATATAAATCTACAACTTTGTTTAAAAGTGAGTACTGAATAATCTGGTGAGTTAGTAACACGAAATAAAAAAATAATCACGCGAGCCAAGCTAATAATTACCACACAGCGCCTTCTTGACCTAAACTTGACATATTTTGTACTAGCTGGTGCCAGCGATTTCGTTCGCGTGGAATTTGAAAACCGCTGCCTTAGTGGGTTCGGACACTTCAACATTTTATAGGTTTTTTTAAGAGGAAAATAGCATAGCAGACAGACAAAAATATATTTTACCTGGTTTTTAGACATAGGTATCGTGCAAATAACCGAGTGCAAACAGGCACTTTAATTTTATTTATTTGTAACCTATAGATCTTGATTTGAAGATACCAAAACAGTAATATTACTAAATTGATAATGGAAGACAATCCATGCCGGACTTTCATCCACTAGTCCACTGCTGGACATAAGCCTCTCCTTAGAAAGGAGGATGCCGTACTTTAAGGTGTTATATTTATTGATTTAGGCAAAACGGTCCGTGTGGTGGCGGATTAAGAATACAGAGTGTCACTACCCCTATTCATCTCATGGGTGTCGTAAGAGGCGACTAAGGGAGCAAACCACGCAGGACAACAGCACTGCAGAGAGAAGGAAACTTGACACAAACCCTATACCAACCCGTCTGGCCAGCGTGGTATAGTAGGCCAAAACCTCCTTTCTTAGGAGAGGCTTATGTCCAGCAGTGGACTATTAAAGGCTGTTGATGTGATTGATGTGAGGCAAAACAATTTATTTCAGACATAGGAATATACCCTACTTGTTCCACGGATTGGTTGTACGAGGCAGAAACTTTCTTGAAATGAGTTAAAGTTTCTTAAGAGTGTCAATTATCCAATTGATGGGGATGAATAGAAAAACAGTCCATAAGTCCAAACAATTTATTAGTTAAGTAGTGAGCCCCTCATCTTAATATAATGATGCTATTAAAAATATGGTTAATTTTATTACTCATTTATCATTACTGCTGTAATTAAAAACAATGAGATTATCGTATAATTATTAATATTTTAAATAAATTGGAATCTTTAGAAATAGGTACTCATGTTATCACTAGCTGGAGCTCCATACTTCGTCTGGGTCTCTTCATATCACACATGAACAGCCTGTAGTAGTCCACTGCTGGACATAGGCCTCTCCTTAGAAAGGAGGTTTTGGTCTACTATACCACACTGGCCAGACGGGTTGGTATAGGGTTTGTTTCAAGTTTTCCTTCTTTTTGCAGTGCTTGAAGAAATAAATATTATTTCATCATCATTTCAGTACTGATTTCCCCAATTTGAACCCAAGAGGTGTCTGGTGTAGACTTATATATCCATTAATAGGTGAAAGTACCTTCAATTTCAGGTCAAATAATCGTAGGAGAGTCAGGCTTCGACATAAATGGCCAGGCTCGACAGGAGTGGTACCACGGCTTTACAGAAAAGCTTCGTTACTGTTGTTCACTGAGTAAGTGAGGTTACCGGAGACTTGACCTCCTCCCCTCGCGATTCACGGGGGGGAGTTGCAGTTGTCCATGGGCGATGGTAGTCACTTACCATCAGGTGACACGCCTGCTGATTTGCTCATTATACCATAAATAAAACTAAATGTGTTAAGGGCCTTCCTTTTTAAAGAAAATATATTTATATGTTTGTAGTGTATAATTGGAGTCTGTTCTCACCTACAACTCTCTTAATTCAATAAACAAAATGTCTGATCAAATTTAAACCACATTAAAACAAAATAGAGGAGCATTTTTCGAAAACATTTAAATTTCTAAGAAAAACAACAATCAATTAGTTAAAGTACAAAGTAACCCGACGGTAGTTTAAAAAGTCTAAATAAACGTACAAAGTAACCCCCAGAGCTTCATTACAAATTTAAATTAGCTTGCGTAACCCGCAAATGAATATTTAATTGCTTTAATAAGAGAAACAGATTAAAATAACCAGGCAATTGTGATTAAATTCACAAAATTTCACACTACTTTAAAAACTAATTCCATTCAGCACTAAAGGCCGACAATTGTAGATTTTTATCGCATACACAATTTAATATTAACTAGTACGGCTTAATTACAAAGCTTATGTCATAATTTCGTAAAAACTCCAACTATGGCGATATCCGATCAATAATTCAACATGGCTCCCAAGTCTATCAATATAATAATTCTGTCAAACTTAAATTGAAATTCTGTACAAAGCACACCGCAGTATTATTGATACATTATGAGCGCGCAAAAGAGCCATAGAGGCTATTTACAACTGAATTACAAATCTCGACTTGGCCCCACTAAATACACACGCAGGTTAAATCAATTGTCGTACATCCATCTCTTTCTATCACAACAGCACCGTACACGTCCAGTAGAGACAAAACACATAAAAGATGTTGTCGAGCAATGAAAAGCGAACGGTTAACGCCTACAAAATGAACGAGGTAGGGTGAAAAGCTTGTTTGTTCGGGGGCGTGTCCCCTACACGAAGCGAGGGGCGCAGTCGCTCGGCCGCCGCCGCCGGGAGCAGTGCCCGTGTCAAACTCAACTGACGTTTCACTCTGACAGCTCTGGCTGTCCATCACGCGCCCTTTGCATAAAAAAACTAGTGCAGTATTAAGAAATCATGCTAATAAATTCTGTTAAATATTAATGGATGGCAACATTGTGACATTCGAATTCGAAAACATTATTTTAATTGTACTGTCTGCGTTTGTGATTGTGATGTACTGAATTTTAACTCTGGAACTTTGTGAAAAAAAAAACATGGCGTTTGAAGACCGCTGCAGTCCTAATCAAGCGAACAGCCCTGGGCCGGTTACTGGAAGAGTGCCAGCACCGCACGCAGAGAATCCGATGAACTACTGTCCTCAGAACCAGTATACATGTACAACGATAGATTCAAGGTACGAAAGATCTTCCCCAAACATGACTATAGTCAAAGTCCAGCCAAATTCACCTCCACCAAGCCCAGAGCATCAAAACGAAATGGAGAACTTCCAAAACTATTACCGCCCTGAAACGCCAGACGTTAAACCTCAAATTAACCAAGAAGATCAGAGATTTGATTCAGAAAAACTTAGAAACCAGAGACAACCGCCTTCTACACCGATAGCTTTCTCAATTAATAACATCTTACATCCTGAATTTGGCTTGAATGCGATTCGAAAGACCAACAAAATTGAAGGCCCTAAACCAGTTGGTCCCAATCATAGTATTTTGTATAAACCATACGATTTATCGAAGCAAAATGAATTCCAGAAATATAGTTTTGATTATTTGAAGTCTAAAGAACCAGATTTTAGTTCGTTGCCGCCTTTAGGAGGCCTGAGGCAAACGGTATCACAAATTGGGGAGCAGATTCATAAAGAAAGAGAGATCCCTAAGGTGCCTGAAGCGCAGAAGAGGCCGGATTCTGCCAGTTCCGTGGTGTCATCGACGTCTAGTGGCGCTCCATCTACTTGTGGTAGCACAGATACAAATAGTCAGTCAGGAAATGGTGCATTATGGCCCGCTTGGGTGTATTGTACTAGATATAGCGACAGACCCAGTTCTGGTAAGTTTTTTTTTTAATTTCTACAGTATTGTGTATACCTATATGTAGCTATTGACTGTTAGGTAATTGTGTTTTTCTCGTTTTTCTTTCGCACTCGCCCTTTTGAATACGGTTTAGTTTTTTTTGTTAGTGAAGTTGTTTAAATATTTAAAAAAGAAAGCTTCAATTCAGATATAAATGGATATAATTTCTATAACACGAAAACGTGTAATTTGGTACTAACTTTGAATTCTAGGCCAAATTTTATCAACTTTATAGGCGAATATTTTATAAATTGTTTTTTTTATAGCCGCCATTTGCATTTGTAAAACATTGTACTAAAGTTTAAATGATATAATTATCTACTATTTGAGTAATAAAACAGCGGTTGTTTAAACATAATGGTAGCTTTAATGTTTAAAATACCTGGATAGTTAAGAAAAACAAACCATAAATTATAGAATTTTGACATTGACTATAAAGAAAAAACTCTATTTAGCTCGTTAATGAAAGGAAGAAATCATCAAAATCCACCTTTTTTCGTGTTTTCCTTCTGTATTACCTCAGAATATTGATCAGTATACCTTCGACAGCGAGTTTTGAATAACTTAAAATTTAAAATTAGGTTGTATGCATAAAAATTCTTACAATGAACCATCGACGTGTGTGTTAGAATACATTTAGGACAAATGTTTCTCTAATTCCGAATAATATGTTGACACATTTTTACAGATGTAATTTATATATTTATATATGCAATTATTCAAAAGTTGTTTTTATTTTGAATTAATTTGAAACTGAACGTGGCTTCCTTGTTTTGAATTTAAATGAAGTACAACTGTATTAAGTTTTATTTGTTTTGTGAAAAATAGTTTCGTACATATTATCCAAAGTTGATTAGAATTTGACATGTCTTGTAAGATATGGATCAGACAGCCGTGTACTTATATACGGCCGTCTTATCGCATACTAGGCAGAGTTTATAGGTACTATGGTAACCAGACTGCTAATAAACACACCTATAAACAAACATATTTTAGAAAAATTACTATCAGATACGGAAAAAAAATATGTTGTTCATCACATAATATTTGTCCTGACGAAACGATTTCTGGCTCAGAACTGAGGATCTCTAACCGTTAGATCAACAGGCCAGAGATAGTATTATGAAAGTTGATTACAGGTAGGTAACAAATAGTTATTCGACATTTTGTATGTGACCTGACGTGTATTGCCGGATCGGATACGGATTGTCACTACCCCAATTCATCCCGTGGGTGTCGTAAAAGCCGAGCCGGGGCAAAACAACGCAGGACACCAGCACTGCAAAAAGAAGGAAAACTTGACACAAACCCTATGTATCAGTGGCAATACTATCCTGGGACGTGTTATTCATAGTTAATCTAAGTACAGTTTATAATAGAGGGGTTTTAAAAGTGAAGATTCTTTTCTCTCTTTTTAAAGCCAATAAATGAGAACAGTAGCAGAAGAATGGAGTGGAATGCTCCTACTTCTATAGATTTGAAAATAATAAGTTTCAAATAGGCACATTTCATTTGTCCTCTTATTATTAAATAAGAATCTTATAGTTAAGCTTATTCATTTTTGATTGTGAGATTTTCGAATTAGATTTTTTTTCTACATCAACTTCCTGTCCTTAACAGTCCACTGCTGGACATAGGCCTCTCCTTACAATGGAGGTTTTGGCCTACTATACCACGCTGGCCAGACGGGTTGGTATAGGATTTGTTTGTTTTCCTTCTTTTTGCAGTGCTGTTGTTTTGCACAGTTTGCTCCCTTAGTCGGCTCTTACGACACCCACGGGATGAATAGGGGTGGTGACACTGTATTCTTAATCCATCACCACACATCTTCCTGATTTTTTTCTAATTTTACGGGGGGATTCGTGTAAGTTTTTTTGGCTGTTTTTCGCACGCGTGTAATTAAAAAGTAGCCAATGTAACTCACTGATAATGTAGCTTTCCATTTGTGAAAAAAATACGGTTTAGTGGTTTAGGCGTTAAAGCGTAACTAATAAACAGAAAGACAAAAAACCTCACTTTCACATTTGTAATATAAGTATGGATAGATTTAGGCACCAAGGACTGACGCCAATCTTCCATGGGAATGTTTTAGGCAAAGAAATAGGTTGATTGTAGTAATAACTAGCTGAGGAAACGCCGCGGGACGAAGCTAGTCTAAAAAAAAGTAGCCTTAGTTACTCCTTATGTCATCAGCTATCTGCCACTGAAAGTCCCGTCGAAATCGGTCCAGCCGTTCTAGAGATTACCCGGAACAAACAGACAGACAGACAAAAATTGTAAAAAATGTTATTTGGCATATGTACTGTGTAAACATACATATGCACATAGTAAAAAGCGGTTATTTTAATATTACAAACAGACACTCCAATTTTATTTAATTGTATAGATAGTATGGATAGATATAGGCGCCAAGGAATGTTTTAGGCAAAGAAATAAGTTGATTGTAGTAATAATGGGTGGTATGAAACCTCAGCCTAACGCTGAGGGTTACCACAACACTTAGATGGGAAATATGACTAAGACCGCAGTAGCTGGTAGAAGCCAGGGTCGCGTATCCTTATATCCATACTGTGATTGTAGAGGTCAGTAAGATAGAGTTGCCCTATTGAGACTACACAAGTTTAAATTACAACCGGTAACGGTTCCGACGGCGAAGTTCAAAAGGAACAAAGAACATTATATTAGGGGATTTAATCTTATATAAAAACCTTTGTTCCTCTCTTTACTATGGGAAGGGTAATTTAATGGAAGGAGAGTCTTAAATGGGATTCAAACCTCGACTTCCTCAATACGGAAAGACGGAAAGTACCTAAGATTTCTTTATTGACTCTGCCGTAGGTTCTTTTAATCTTAATTAAAACACTATAAATATTTATTTTACTTTTTTAAGGAGCCATGTTAGTTTTCTTTTTTTTTAACTACAGAAGGCAACTGTGTACCTTCACTGTCAACGCCAGATTTAGTTTCGCTTTTCGAAGTTAACTTTTTCGTAACTAGGTCTTTAACGGAACGAGACCCTTGATAGGATAATCTGGTGACCCTAATCATTACTAGATCTTAAATTCTACTCTAGCAGAACTGGTTTACCGGATTTTTGCACCTATTGTGTTTTTCGGACTAAGTGACTTCACTGAGAGGGAAATTGATTGTACTCCGCTCATAGTTGTTTCCAGCATTGGACATTGGAGCCTTAATTAAAGATTTTTTAATTCTAAAGGACCTAATTGAAGGGGGAGCGCAGTACCTATCTAAAATACAGTTCTTTCTATACAATCAATGTCTCTATTGACTGTTCCAAGTTCTCCGAACTGTAATTTTTCTTTACAGTTTTCTTAATCCTCATCCTCCATCTCTAACGCCGCAGTTGCTTAACCTTCTATTTTTATCCAAAATCTATCATCATCAGTCCTTCCCAGGTATAGAACCTCAGCCCATTTTAGATTAAAGAAAAACTTTTTGGGACTTCTGATTAAATTCGTCTCGCAGCCATAGACAATTTTGGTTTGTCACGGTTTTTTATGGGCTTTTTGTTTCATTTTGTCTATGCCGTTAAGTAATTGCCATGTCGAATGGTAAGAGGTCAATGTGACTTATAGACCCTAGCAGAATGCTACCGTCGCCTTTTCGAAGGAATAACCAGAAAAGACAATTAGTAAACGACTTTTGTACATGGTCATTAACTTGGAGTACGATTGTATGTATAATATCCTGAATTGGTGTACAATAAAGATTATTCTATTCTACTCTAAACGACGCCCTGTTGGTCTAGTGGTTAGTGACCCTGACTGCTAAGCCAAGACTAACGATCATTGGTTGTGTCTGGATGTAATTTATCTATAATATTTATGTATTTAGAAATATATAAGTATGTTTATCGCAGTCTGGTTACCATAGTAAAGGCTCTGCTGCTCTAGTTTGGGATCAGACGGCCGTGTGTGAGATTTATGAGGTAGAGAGAGGTAGAGGCGTATTTACAACAAGAGAGCCACCTGCTCATACTCTCATACGTACACGTCTTTTATCCAAGAAGGGGTGGACTGAGATAGAATTGTAGTCCTACCTAATTACGTAATAGGGGCAAACCTATAAACGTCAACTGAGCACATATTCTAAGAATCTATACAAATAAATAAAATTGAAGTGTCTGTAATGTCAAAATAATTGTTTTTTTTTTCATGCTCACACGGTTATTTACATGATACCTATGCCTAAAAACCAGTTTAAATCTGTTTCTTCCCGTTATATAATCTTCAAAACGGCGGCACCGATTTTGATAATATTTTACTACCAGGTAGGCGTCTATATAAGGAGTAAAAACAAATTTTGCCCGGTCCGGGAATCGAACCCGAGGTCTCATAGACTATAGTCACGTACCGTACTACACCACTAAGGTATCACTTTTGAGTACCAGCGAGATTCTAAATTAACATTGTTATATTTAACCAAACACATACACAGAAGAAATGTAATTTATAATAATAATAATAATTATGAAACAGATTACATAAGCGATGTTCAGACAATAACTAAGTATAGCGTGTACTGTAGGGTTTACAAACAGTTGTTAAGTGGCGCCATACCTACGTACTACGTATGGCGCCATTTATCAACTGATCGCAAAATTTAGTTTATATATTTATATACATATATACTAGCTGACCCGCAAACGTTGTTTTGCCAGTTACATTATTTCTAGGAAATATTGAAAAAAAAATCAGGGGTGGGTCACCCTTATCATTTAGGGGTATGAAAAATAGATGTTGGCCGATTCTCAGATCCATCCGATGTGCACACAAAAGTTCATAAAAATCGGTCCAGCCGTTTCGGAGGAGTATGTTATCTAACATTGTTACACGAGAATTTTATATATATCATCAACAGCTTTTAACAGTCCACTGCTGGACATAGGCCTCTCCTTAGAAAGGAGGTTTTGGCCTACTATACCACGCTGGCCAGACGGGTTGGTATAGGGTTTGTGTCAAGTTTTCCTTCTC